CAGACTTTATTCTCAGGCGCTGCGACCTTGGTGCTCGCAGGGCAGCCGGGGCATCCCGGGGAGCCGCGGTTCTGCTTTGCACTTCCCAGCCCAAAAGCGGCACTTCTGCCTCCACCGAACCCGCGGCACCTGGGCAGCCTCTGCCTCTTCGGTAGCCTCGCTGTGCTGCGTTCTGCAGAAAGAGGTCGGAAAGATGGAAGAAATCCCTGAATTGGATGAAATGTCTTGCTCCGCCGGTGACTCACTGGGTGACCTTGGGTCAGCCACTTAATCTCCAACTGCTGCAGGTTTTGGGCTTCAGTATGGCCCTGGTTTGTAGAGCCCCGTGATAACCTCCAAGGAGAAGTGCTAGATAAGCGTGAGGTAGCTGGCTGGTTTTTTTTACCAAGTTCTGCTGAAACAAAGCAGAGAGTAGCCTGAATCTTCTAGAGACCAGAAACCTCTCTGTGCCAGTTTTCATCAAATCATAAGCATTTCTCTATTCAAAAATCTGAGCTCAGGGCCCTTCCTTGTGTTGTGAAATGGGAACAGGGAGTTCTTGGTCAGACAGTAATGTCACATTATTTCTTACAGTCCTTTGCATGTGGATTTGCTCAGCACCAGTGATACGATCTGTGGAATAAAACGTAGGCATTAAGTAAATGCTTTGGGTTCTCCTTCCACCCCATCCCAAGCTGATGGGTGCAGCAAAGGCAGCACAGGGGTAGCTGACCCCAGTGCTCCCTCCACGTTACCAGTCATGGACAAGTGAGAAATGCAGCTTCTGAAGCTCAGACATTCAGGTCCCTGTGAGCAATCTGGTGGCTGCTGAAAGAAAGGAGCAGGAAAGTTACCAGCATGAGAATCACCACAGCTCTGCCCAGCATTGCCCCGTTTCTTGCCAGGGAGAGGATAGCCAGGCAGAGTCCTGATGCAGGGAGGGAACATGCTCCATGTTGGAGGCAAACAACAAGGTCCTGTTCCCAGCTCCACCCCAATTCACAACTTTCAGTGGTTGCTGCCTGTCCTTTTGTTTTGGGGTTTTGACAGATGCAGATCATGTAATCTTGTTGCACTGCTAATTATTTTTGAAAAACTGAATATATCCTTTCCATAAAACTCAAGCCCATTTACACTCTGCCCATTGCAGTGGTTGTAAGAGCTGAAGTAAGTAGCTTGTGTAAGTGTGGCAGAGAAGATAATGGTGAGCAATCAGGGGATGGTTCAGTATCACTGGTCCTGCACTTCTCATGCCTTGCTGTTTCATAGAATCACAGAATGGTTTGTGTTGGAACGCACCTTTAAAGGTCATCTAGTCCGGCCCCCTGCTGTGAGCAGGGCATCTTCAACCAGATCAGGTTGCTCAGAGCCCCGTCCAACCTGACCTTGCATGTTTCCAGGGATGGGACATCTAACATCTCTCTGTGCAACCTGTGCCAGTGTTTCACCACCCTTATCATAAAAAATCACCTCCCTTGACCTGCTGGCCATGCTTCTTTTGATGCAGCCCAGGATAGTTTGCTTTCTGGGCTGCAAGTGCACAATGCTGCTTCAGATGCAGCTTTTCATCCATCAGTACCCTGAAGTCCGTCTCCTCAGGGCTGCTCTCAATCCCTTCATCCCCAGCCTATATTGACAACGGGTGTCACCTGAACCCAGGTGCAAGACCTTTCACTTTGCCTTGTTGAACCTTGTGAGGTTCACATGGGCCCACTTCTTGAGCTTCTCCAGGTCCCTCTAGATGGCAACCGATCCACCACTGAAGCATGGTACAATTTTAATTTACATGGGGATTTTTGGTCCTTTCTTGGAAAAGGAAGTCAGTGGGGCACCACAGAGAAGAAGCAGCTGCTACTGAGGTTTTTTGTTCAGTTAGGAGGAAGGTGGGAGAGACTTATGAGTCAACAGAGCTGGCAAAGGGATCTATTACATGAAATCTTACCTGACTTTCAAAGTTCATTTTTTTTAGGACAGAAATTAGAGCTGAGCTTGACTCTCTTGCAGAGGCTGGAATTTTAGCGACCATGTTAGATCATTATTGACACTGAACCTACAGCCAATGCCCAGCTCTGCCTACAAAACCTCATCAACATTTTTGTGATGTTCTAGTCTGAAGCTCTTTTCTAATATTAACATTTCTAGGACCCCGTCTAATGTGTTGTTTAATGCTACTTGTTTGAATTCATGTATACATGCAACAGTTTCTGTTCCAGGTTTTTAAATAGTTTAAAAAAAAAAAAAAAAGAAGAAAAAGGGGGTAAAGTCTTTGCTGGGATGAATGAGTCAAATAATTACAGCTGACTAGTTAAAATGTGTAAATAAATAAATAAAATTTAAAATGCAATACAACAAGGTTTAGGTTTTTTGGTTTTTGTTTTTTTTTTTCCTTCTGATTTCCACAGAGGAGTATGGTCTGGAAATAACCAACAATGGTCCCATCACAACGGGAGCTCAAGCTACTGTTCACGCAAGTCTCAGTATGAAGAATGACAGTGTTGCATCAAACTCGTATCACTTTAATTGGATTTATGCTCCTCTGATTCTGATAGAGAAATCTGAGCAGCAGTTTAACTCCGTGATTAATGTGACCAGTGAATTTCCTGGGACTTTTCCTATATCTGTCTGGGTGACTCATAGAAACTGTTGGTTATGTCGGCCAGTTGCTAGAAATGTCACCATGCTTCAGATTACAGGTAAAATGACTTTACAACTTCTATGTCTTCAGGAATTCAGTAGAAATCAGAATGCTTGCTGCCTTTGCTAGCATCAGAAAAATGAAAGCCAGGCATAAACATGACTTCTGCCAACAGAGTTTGGTTTGTGTAGTTTGGTTGAAGGTGAGTTTGGACAGGCATTTGGGCCATACTGTTGTGTACCCACATACAGGAAACAAGTGTGAGCCTGCCCATGTTTCCCTGCCTCTATCACTTAAAGAAACTGAGCTAGAAACCAGATACTTCTGTAGCTACAACTCACACATCAGCGATGGTCAGTGGTGTCCAGACTCCTAAAACAATGCTTCCTGTACTGCTTCCCAGCATTTCTAGTCCTAAAGTTAGGATGACCAGCAGCAGTGACAATCTGCTGATTTTCCCTGTTGCATGACATAGCAAAAACTTCAGCCATTGGCACAACAGAGCTGTTACATTTTCTTTTGAAGTTTGGGCTGCAACTGGATGTGAAGCCATAGCTGCATTTCCAAATATTGCTAAGTGCAATTTCAGCTTACTGGTGTGGTGGTTTCACCCCAGCTGGCAGCATCACACAGCCACTTGCTCACTTCCCCCTCAGTGGGGTGGAGAAGAGAATCAGAAAAGTGAGAAAACTCATGGGCTGAGATAAAGACAGTTTAACAGGTAAAGCAAAAGCTGCACATGCAACCAAAGCAAAACAAGGAATTTGTTCACTACTTCCCATCAGGAGGCAGGTGTTCAGCCATGTCCAGGGAAGCAGGGCTCCATCATGCATAACAGTAACTGGGAAAGCCAAACGCCATCGCTCTGAACATTCCCCCCTTCCTTATTCTTCCCCCAGCCTTTATATTGCTGAGCGTGACGGCATATGGTCTGGAATATCCCTTTGGTCAGTTGGGGGCAGCTGTCCTGGCCATGTCCCTTCCCAGCTTCTTGTGCACCCCCAGCCTACTCAGTGGTGGGGTGGTGTGAGGAGCAGAAAGGTCCTTGACTCTGTGTAATCACTGCTCAGCAGTGATGAAAACATCTCTCCATTATCAACAGTTTTCAGCACAAATCCAAAACATCCCCCCATACCAGCTACTATGAAAAAATTAATTCTATCCCAGCCAAAACCAGCACACTGGGAATATTCATAACCATAAACATGCATTTTTTGACAAAGTGACAAATGGTGCAGTATGGTTAATCTGATCTCTGATACAGGGGTTGACATGAAATATCGCCTGCCAGCTTCCCACAATCCCTTCTATCAGACACTAGTAACACCTCCCTCCAACCTCATGTCCCAGTGCTCTACTTAAACACTCCAAAATAGACCCAGCTCCCAGCTGAAGATGGGGACATGCATGAGGACAAAAGAGCTACCCACAGGGCAGAGATGACATTTTGGGGAACAGCTCTAGAGATTTTTCTATGAGAAACAGCAAGCTTATTGGATAAGTCTTTATAAAAGTGCACATGAGAACTTTTCTCTCTTAAGAACTGCTGCCTTGCTGAATATCTACGTGTTCCTTTCTCGCTTTGCACTGTCTTGTATTCTCATGCCACAAGCAAAAGGGATAGAAGGTTTCTATAGCTGTGAAAGGTAAGATCCATTGTACCTTTCTCCTTCCCCAAGCAAGAGCCCCCACAGGGGCTTCACAGGGGCCCAGAGGCAGTTGCCAATAACTCATTTAAATTGCAAGTCTAGTTAGTTTTGCATTACCAGCCCCAATCTGAAGCACCAATTGTGATTCTTATTTGTGCATCATCTAGAGAACAGTTAACCACATTTAATGAATTGTTAACAGGGTAAGAATCTGTTACTGGTAATTAATATCCCATTAATTTTATAATGAGCTGATAAGTGTATCATTGCAATGCCTCTTTATTCATAGGTTAGAGAGGATTTTTAGATCGGCCTTTGCCAGTCCTTGTAAACGAACTCGAGCAGCAGATCTCTCACAGACATCAACATCAAAATTTCACCCTTTCTGTATTCACAATGTGTAGCACATCTGTTATCCATGGTAGTCAACTTCATTTCTGTGGAGGTAGCTAAAATTTAAAAAGCAAAAAACTAACAACATAAAAGCCCCACAAAACAAACACAAACTGCCACCCCAAACATGAAGGGTGTGTGTGCTGGTTTGATTCTGAATCCCTTGGTCTAGATCCTTGATGTTAATCACAATTCTTTTTAAATAGTAAAAACTGATAATGACCTAAATCAGTCCAGGATTATTTCTCTTAATTCTATTAGAAGCTTTATCATGACCCATTATGACCCTAACTAACTCAGTCTCTCTGTCTCAGTAACACAGGTAACAACACTGAGTAATAGATAAAAAATACACTTAACTACTTGGACCAGGACACAGAAAGATCTGTGCAGTACATTTTAAATAATGTTTTGTTACTTACAGAGAGCATGCTCTGAAAGTGATATATGCTGTCATTCTTTCCTCACCTTATTATTCTGCAGAATTTATCACAGGGAATCTTACCATTGCCCAGATAGAAGACAGCAGATTTATCACACGTGGTTCCAGTTCCTCCACAGGCGCTGTGACCCGGATTTCCTTCTGTCTTCATGACCCAAGTCATTACTTTAAGTCAGCATCATTTGTCTACAACTGGGATTTTGGAGATGGGTAGGTGTGCTCACTTTGTTTGCTTTAATGAGTATTCAAGATGGTTCTGATTCAGATGCTCATATAGAGAAAAATACTGATTAAATCATAGGACAAAGCATACACCGTTGTCAGTTGGTACAACTGTCTACCTGCTATAAAAGTGGTTTCCATAGTTTACTGACTATTCCTATTCCATTTTGTGAATTCTTTTAGCATTATCTTAGTTTCTTTGATTAAAACTGCATAAATATAATCTGGGTCTTATACTGATTGTGGTTTTACTGGTAATGCCTCAGACATCAATCCTCATTGATAGGGACATAAAGTAGAATTAGAATCACAGTTGACTGTAGCATTGTCTGTAAAGAAAATATATTTGAGCTTGCTCCTTTTTAAATCAGAAATGCACAAGGACTTGGTAAAAGACAATTTTGATACTAAATCTTTTCATGTTATACATAGAGTCTATCAGATTACCAAGGAACCCTTTGTCTACTATAACTGCTCTACCATGGGGAATCGCACAGTGCATCTGAAAGTCATAGCTGAATGGGAGCACATTGGAAGCATCATGCATGAAAGAGAAACGGTACAGAAAACTGGTGATTTTACCACTGCTCTGGAGCTGTTAGGTAATTATAAAACATTCTGAATACTCAAAACTAAACTTGCTATATATGTACAGATACAATCTAGCTTTAATGTGCTAATGTGATAAGACAACTTCAGCATTGTTTCACATGCAAGAACTGGTCAGCATTATTCAGTGAAGAGTTTCCATCACAAAATGGATTTTGTGCTGTTCTAGTGCAGAAAAAATGGGGGGAAATATATAAAATCTTGTGTTTCTTTTTAATTTACCAAAACTTTCACTCTCTTTTTTGAAAGTCTCGTGTACACTTAAAACTTACAATAAAATGTTTACTGTAAGTTATGCGGGATTTGTTTGTTTAATTTATGCTGGTATCCCTAAAAAATAAGCATTAGGAAAGTCTTGTTGATTTAATCAGCTTCTGGAATAAATAAAATAATAAGTGAAAATGTAAAGGATTAATAAAGTAGTTAGTTACATACTGAAAAGAAATCACAAAACATTCAGAAAACTTACAACAACTCTACCAGTAGGATTCCTTCTTGGGTGCGAGGCAAGAATTATTTGTGTGACTGATGAAACTAAAATCTGCAAAGTCTATGAAAACAAACCTTTACTGGAAAACCAGTTAATTTCAAGTTTATACATGGCATGTGACATGATTTTTTTCTTCCTCTCAGATGCTGTTAAAAGTATTAACGTAGTGGGCTCCAGAGAGACTCATGTAATGGAAAACTTGAATTTGTCTCTTCATATCAATGGGACGTAAGTAGCAAACACAACTTCTTCCCCTCAAAACCATTGTCTATTTAAGTGTATTTACCCACTGTTTCCTTAAAATAGTCAGTTGCACCCACAGAACTGTTTCTTAAAACAAAAATAAATTTCCTTTGAACAAAATACTGTTGAATATTGCTTTTTCCTGACTCGAAATACCATGAACTCTAAGAGCTTGAAAGAGCCTGCATCTTTACAGGAAAGTAGAATCCTCCTATGTAAAGCAAATACTAGTTTTATATCTTTGTAAAGAGAATATTAAGAGAATTCGACAAAGATAGTTGAAATATTGAAATTTTAAAACTTCCTTTTGAATTTTTCTCCTCAAACAATTTCCCCCCTCTACTAAATTAAACTGTAAACTGAAGGACAGGATGTTCTGTTGAATAGCAGCCATCCTTGACTGGTACATGGGAGTTAGGGGGCTTGGCGAATAATTCTGGCAAAGGTAAGATTGCCGCAAGATTAATAGGACAGAGAGGCTCCATGCAGTGAGGATTATCGGAATGTAGAAGAGTCAGGAGCACCTTCATCCTAGCACAAGGTTTCTCAAGCTGCACTATTTAGAACACGACAAGTTTTTTTTTATGGCAGAAGCATTTTAAATATAATTGAAAGACTCAGGAAAGCTTCTTCACCATAAAAACTCTGTAACCACAGAGGTCATTTATTCTCCAGAGAAGTGACATTTTCACATTCTGCTATTGGGAGTCCTTTAGCCTAATGCTGGATTTTTTTAAAAAAAAACAAAACATGAAAACAAAAAAGATCAGTGCTGCCAGGGATGCAGGACAGAGCGAGGAGCACCCAACGCAGAGTCATTTGCCAAAGACATAAATAGTCCCAATAGACAAAGCGGCACAGTTTGCACCCAGCAAGTGAACGGCACATTGGCAGGAGTGGAAACTGGAGATGGCATGTAAGTAAATATAAACAGCCAAAAACTGTTACAGCCAAACCTGAGATCCCTAAAAGCAGTCTTGGTTTTAGGATGGACAATATTTGCCAGACCTAACCTCCTACCCACAGGACTGGGACTGGTGCAATATGGGTTTATGATACAAAAGCAACAACAAAGCCTCGAGAGATGGATTATCAAAAACAAAGCTTGAAAACAAGCTAAACACATAAAGGTGCTGCTTTCTTTAGCAGAGAATGTCCTAAAGAGATAAGGAACAAAATACTAGTAAGACGGGGTAAAGAAAAGCTTTATCTGTTGTCCTAATCAAAGTCCATAGTGCATAAGGTGAATCCAAGCAGAATCAGTTGGAACGAAGGTCTGAAAATGTAAAATAAAAGGCATGAACTAGACATGGCGAGAAGACTCATGGCCATAAAATGGATAACACCTAGATTGCTCGATAGCAAATAAAACCCTTGTTGTTATTGTAAGGGAGTACCGTGATCCTTGCAATTTATTTACCTTTCCCACTCTTAGTCCATTGTACAGAGCTCATCTTACATTCTTTTCAGTTTTGGTTGTTAGGTTTTTTTTAATCAGAAAAGTCTAGGGTGTGCTTCAGTAGCACAGACAGTGACTTCTGTGTGAGAAGAACAAAGAACAAACAACGTATACTCCCTTGGAAGTGCAGGAAAAAAAGATTCCCTATATCTTTATTGGAGAAGGACTAAGGGGTTTTCTACACACAATGACCTTCCTATGACCCGCGCAGGTATTGAGCTCTCAGCTGAAAGGTTTGCTTTTATGGAGGCATCACAAACAACTTTTTCAATTGACAAATACTGTAAGCCAAACAATTGTGCTGTTAATTACTTCTCTAGTTGTATTTAGATTTACTTAATTATTTTCAAAATAATTATTATGCTACTTTAACCAAGTGATTCATCAGCTCTTAGGTAAAATTTTTGCGAAGTTTTCACCTGGGGTTTTTTGGGGGTTTTTGTTTTATTGTCTTTTTTTCTTTTTGCTCCTGTCATTTCAGCCCGCCGCTGGCATTATGCTGGCTTATAAAAGCCGAGTGTATTCCACTGGAAGATGAAAAATGCCATCTGGTGGTAATTAACGGCTCCTGCTACAATCTCAGCCATACCTTCAGTGACGCGGGACAGTATTGCCTCAGCATCAGAGTGGAGAACGGCGTGACGATGCTGCAGACGTACCATGAAATAAAAGTGTGGCCAACAGGTGAGGAGCAGCTACTCTGAGCAGCGTGGAGACTCCCACCTGTCTGGGAAGCGACAGTCTCAAACATTTCAAGAACAATTGCTAGTCTGCATATTAGGTTTCTGGAGACTGGTATGGACCCCTAAAAGTGTAAGAAGCAGGAACAGAAAGGAGAGCCTATAATGTGCCTACTGTAATTGTTCTGAGCTTCTTGCATTCTGCTGAACTCTTAGTCTCAAGAGTGCCTGGAAGCTAATGAGTTTCCTGGGAAGGCTAATTTACTTGAATTACATATTTTTCAGTTTAAATAGTCTGGCTCTTGTAGTCAGAGAGGATAACTAGGCAAACGTGTCTGTAACACTCCCTTAATTAAGCAGTCTCAATTCTTGTTTTTGTTTAGTTATGCTTTTTTAAGGGTAGAATTTTCTAGGTCTCCATTTTATTACAGGTTTCTGTCCCTGCAGCCAGCAATCCCTGCTGGCTCCTCCATACATAGTCACACATGCCCCTCTTAGGTCCCTGAATCATCTGAGAAAGTGGTTAGGTGGCCAAGTGACTAGAGACAGCCGGGCTGTGATACAGGATGGTTATACCATCTCACCGTGGGCCAGCACTTGTATGCAGGCAGGGCAGCTCACTCCAGAAGGCACTGGTGTACTTTCAAAGCTAAGTGTGCAAATCCTCTTTGCTGGAGGTTGCTAGCTGCTGTGAAGATGCTGATTGAGGTTCCTTCCTACCCTCTTGGGCTACCGCAGAGGAACAAAGACCCTGAGGAGTCAGGGCTAACATATGTAACTGGGTGGGTTTTCTTAGGCTGTTCAAGGGAAAAGAGAAGTAGAAAAGGAAAGGCCTTCACAACCTCGTATTCCGACTTCTGAGACTTCAGAAAAACCTGAAGTGAGCTGGGCTGAAAAAATTATTCCCTGTTACACACATGTCCTTTGTTCTAAAAATATTAAAATAATTTCCCCTTGTGCTTTTTCCTAGGGATGCACCCAGCTTTCTTCATCCTGCTCTGCATCGCTCTGGTTTCAGTGATGCTCGGACTGGTGCTGTACACAACCTTTCGAAGTAACACACAACAAAAAGATCTCGTGGAGGTAGCCAGTTACTTTTACTTTGAGCCAAGACTGTAATTAGATACATTTCAGCCATGTCACTTCTTTAATCCCCAGGCAAACAGAGCGGAAGGGAGCATTTTCCTGGTATGTCTGATCTGTCCCATGGAAAAATCTGTACAGTATAAACAAACACTTTAAGCAACAGACATGCTTCCAGCTTATTGTGGAAAACTGTAACTATAATTCAAGTTTCCAGGGCCATCATGGACAGTTTGTTAATATTCCCAAGCAGGTGCTTACGTTGAAGTATCTCTTCCAGAGGATGTACTCAGAGTGGTAGATGAAAGAAAGCAGGGGGATAGTGATAGAGGATACAGGATAGTAAAAAAGGGTGGGTATGTTACCTAAAGTGGCACTAAATTGTCACCTGATAATTATGTGACTTCTATGTCCTCAGCTCCCTTCCATCTGTGGTATAGCTTTCACTTGCTATATTATTGTATTTGTAATAGGCATGAGCTCCTAAATCAAAGGTAACTTTCTTGGCCCTTTGGAAAGTATCTAATACACTTTACATCATGCCACAATATGAATAATATACCTCTAGAGAGACTGCCTGTGGGCCAAGTGTGCAGCAGGTATAAATCAGAAGTCTATTTGAAGTTGGTGACTGAAACTGCTTAAGGACCAAGTGCCATTTCTGGCCCCAACTATTCTGAACCCACGTAAGGCAGTAGAACCCGAATTAAAAATGATCTCTTTGATGTTTCTTTTCCAGGTAGCTGACTTCGACTTTTCTCCACTGTCTGATAAAAACCTGTCTTCTCGTTCAGAGTCAGGCTGTGGCCGAATGTGTTGCAGATCATGTTTTGTTTGGTCAACTCAAGAAGCTGCCACTGAGAGTCATGAACTTCTACATTCTTTTTACAAGCCAGTCAAAACGTACACAGTGTGAAGAACACAATTGCACTTTGGTTGCACTAACTGCTGAGTTTAACTTTTTCACTTATGATGAGATAAAAGCCCAGTGTTGCATGAATGGTTTGGTTTTGCCAATGCAATGAGTTTAACCACTTTAGGTCCAGCACTTGAGTGTTTCATTCTCTGAACTAAAAAAAAAAGCAAGCCCTGAAACACAGTAAAAGTAGCTTTGTATTTTTAAATGATACGGGTGTACACATTTACAGCTGTAAATGCAGCATTTTATTCTTATGAAAATTGTTTTATGTGCAGGTTTGCTAAACTCACTACCTCTTGTAATTTCTCTGTTCCTTCTGCTGTCTGTTTCAAAGACAAAAGTGCTTAAGACAAACATACCTCTTTCCTATGTTACAACAATATTACTGGAAATGAAAGTCACCCAAAATGTTGTTGAATGTGTATTTGTTCTAAAAAGGAACTGAGTTGTCCAGGTTGAGAAAGGCCTAGGTGCTTCAAATGAACCAGACTACCTAATTATGTCATCTTTCTTCCTCATGTCTTAAAAGACCCCTTTTTTAAGTTACTGGGCTTCTGTAAGACTGTAGTGGCTGGTGACCTGCTCATGGAGGGCTAGCTGCTAGCAGTAGTTTGGTGGGATTGCAGCACGTGCTGTAAAAGACTTCACATCTCCAACGTTTCATTAGTACACCACCCTAACCTGTATAAGTAGCTTTTTTACTTTTTTTTTTTTTCAGGCTCTTCATTCTTTTTCATATTACTTCCCAGCTAGTCACCAAAGCTCCCCTTCCAAAAAATGCAACAACCAGGAGCTCAAAGCTGCTCAGCAAAACATATTAAGTTCAAATTCATAGTCAATGTTCAAGGCTGCATAAACTTCGTGCTTGTTGCAGTCTTATCTTCCACTCCCAGCTTCCTTCTCACCCAGGCTTTGCCCCCTGCTACAACACATTTCAGAGTACCCTGGAGGCTTTTAAACAACAGTGCCTTTGTGGCTGTTTCTTTTTTAAAATGTGACACCCTTTTGCCACTTCTGATTTAAAGCCTATGGGTATTGTGGGCTTGGGGTTTTCCAAATATGTCATAATTTCTCAAATGCACTGATTGGGAGATAATTGTCTGAATGTGAAGGGATTTACCGTGAAGCTTTTGGGGTGCTCATCTCACACATTCAACTTCTACATTTCCTCAGAGAAACCCAGAGCTTCGGTTCCTCTGTGAACGAAAATACATGACCTCAGAAGGGCTTTGTTAATTAACCTGATGCATTCAAAATAAAATAGGATCATCTAAGACAACAAATGATCTGGTAAAACTAAGTTTTTGTCAAAAAGTCCTTTCCAAGATGGAACTTCTTTGGCTTTTTTTCTAAAGAGAAATTGTATTTATAAGCAAGCTTGTTGATTAGGAGTGGTGTCCTTTCTATACCTTCTCAGTGCCCTGGTGTCAAACTCTTAACTTCAGTCACGTTCAGTCACTGTTAAAAATGTGCCACTCCTTCAGCTAGCAAAGAAGCTATTGTTCTCGAGACCTCCAGTTCTACTGCTTATTCCTGAGATCCAGCCATGTGAGCCACTGCCAAAGGGATGTGACTTGTTCTGAGATGTCAGTGTGCTCTGTAAAAGGCTACATGGTCCTTGGGCACTGGAAATAACAGATTTCTGATGTGAAAAATGCAACTCGGAGTGATGGCGGCCCTAGAATGACTGCACAGTGGCTCTCTGCAGCTAGAAGTTCAGTTTGGGCTGCTTCTTTTATTATGTTTGTGACAGACGTGACCCTTGCTACTATAATACACCTAAAGATGATTCCTTGGCACACTAGTGAATGTGTAAGAAGCCCTTTCTTCCCCATAATGCACTCCTAGCAAAGACAGTAACTATGAGAGAGCAGACTCTGTTATAGGTACCTGAAACAGGGGTCACCTGGGTTAGAGGAAGATCACATCAAAGGCGTGAGTCCTACACTCTGCCCCATTTTCCATTAATACCCAGCTGATTCTGAGAGTATCATGAGGTGTTAGGCCATGAACGTTGCTTTCTTGGTTTTGTGCCTCCGTGCTCTCCCCAGTACATCTGAGCTGAGATATGACTGATCACACCAAACCTGGCTAAAGTGAAAACAGAGCAAATGTCCTTCAGAAGAATATTGGATCTTACTCTCTTGCTAAAATGAACAAAGGATGGCAAAGGAGTCAAATGATTCAGAAAGGTAAAAAAGATAAAGTGCTGCAAAGTGGAAAATCAACACTATCAAACAGTGGAAGATATTATTCAAGAGCAGATGGAAAAGAATAGAGGACAGAAAGAAAGACATCTCTTGCAAAAAATAAGCAGTGGAGAAGTACACTTAAAAGGTCACGTCAAGAAGCAAATTAACCAGGAAAATTTAAACAACCTTAACAAATTGAGATATAAGTATGAGAAATATTCACACGAACATGTTCCTGAATCCAATATGAAACTGCATCCTGCACAAAAGACTGATCTCTGGGTTCAATAAATGCCTCTGAAATTGA